CAGACCCAAACCCAGACCCAAACTCAAGCTCAGACTCAAACCTAAACTCAAACCCAAACCCAAACTCAGACCTAAACTCAAGCTCAAACCCAGACTCAAAACCAGACCCAAACTCAGACCCAAATCCAGAGCCAGACCCAAACTCAAGCTCAGACTCAAATCCAGACCCAGACCCAAACTCAAACTCAGACTCATTCCCAGACTCAAACCCAAACCCAAAGTCAAACCCAGACCCAGATTCAGATCCAGACTCAAACCCAGACTCAGACCCAAAGTCAAACCCAGACCCAAACTCAAGCTCAGACTCAAACCTAAACCCAAACCTGAACTCAGACCCAAACCCAGACCCAAACTCAAGCTGAGACTCAAACCTAAACCCAGACCCAAACTCAAGCTCAGACTCAAACCCAAACCCAGACCCAAACTCCAGCTCAGACTCAAACCTAAACCCAACCCCGAACTCAGACCCAAATCCAAACCCAGACCCAAACCCAAACCCAGACCCAAACTCCAGCTCAGACTCCAACCCAACCCCAGCCCCAACCCCAAGCCTACCTCAAGCTGGATGTGAAGATTTCATCTCCAGCTTTGCTCGATTTCATCTCCAGCTTTGCCGTTGCCTCTCCCCTGTCCCCTCTCCCCGTCCCTGCAGAACGAGGTGTTCCCGGAGCCGCTGTTCACGTGGACGCGGGTGGGGAGCCGGCTCCTGGACGGCAGCGCCGAGCACGACGGGAAGGAGCTGGTGCTGGAGCGGGTCCCGGCCGAGCTCAACGGCTCCATGTACCGCTGCACCGCCCAGAACCCGCTGGGCTCCACCGACACCCACACCCGCCTCATCGTCTTCGGTACGGCCACGCCGCCGCCCCGCCGGGCCCTCCGCGGGCCCTCGCCTGGCTCCTCCCCACTCAAATTGTCTCTCTGCTCTTTGTTTCCCCATTAGAAAATCCGAATATTCCCAGAGGACCAGAAGACTCCAACGGTGAGCGGTTCTGGTGGCACCGGGATCTCCATGGAGATGCTCGGGGAGGGAAGGGCCGTGCGGAGAGGGCCTGGCCTTGCCTTGGCCCCGACCCTGGGCCACCTCAGCTTGTCTCTCTGCAAGCCTTCACCCATCTCTCCTCTCCTCATTCCAGACCCTTTCCCATCTCTCTCCTCATTCCCAGGCCTTTTCCCATCTCTCTCCTCATTCCCAGGCCCTTTCCCACCTCCTGTCCTCATTCCAGACCCTTTCCCATCTCTCCTCTCCTGTCCTCATTCCCAGGCCCTTTCCCATCTCATTTCCTCATCCCAGGCCCTTTCCCACATCCTCAACTTATCCCAGGTCCTTTCCCATCTCCTCTCCTCACTCCAGACCCTTTTCCATCTCTCCTCATCTCATTCCCAGGCCCTTTCCCATCTCCTTTCCTCATTCCAGGCCCTTTCCCATCTCTTTGCCTCATTCCCAGGCCCTTTCCCATATTCTCTCCTCATCCCAGGCCCTTTCCCATCTCCTCTCCTCATTCCAGACCCTTTCCCATATTCTCTCCTCATTCCAGACCCTTTCCCATATTCTCTCCTCATCCCAGGCCCTTTCCCATCTCCTCTCCTCATTCCAGACCCTTTCCCATCTCTCCTCTCCTCATTCCAGACCCTTTCCCATATTCTCTCCTCATTTCAGGCCCTTTCCCATCTCCTCTCCTCATTCCAGACCCTTTCCCATATTCTCTCCTCATTTCAGGCCCTTTCCCGTGTCCTCTCCTCATCCCAGGCTCTTTCCCATCTCCTCTCCTCACTCCAGACCCTTTTCCATCTCTTTGCCTCATTCCCAGGCCCTTTCCCATCTCCTCTCCTCATCCCAGGCCCTTTCCCATATTCTCTCCTCATTCCAGGCCCTTTCCATCTCCTCTCCTCATTCCAGACCCTTTTCCATCTCTCCTCTCCTTTCCTCATCCCAGGCCCTTTCCCATCTCCTCTCCTCATTCCAGGCTCTTTCCCATCTCCTCTCCTCACTCCAGACCCTTTTCCATCTCTCCTCATCTCATTCCCAGGCCCTTTCCCACATCCTCATCTCATTCCCAGGCCCTTTCCCATCTCCTTTCCTCATTTCAGGCCCTTTCCCATCTCCTCTCCTCATTTCAGGCCCTTTCCCATCTCCTCTCCTCATTCCAGACCCTTTTCCATCTCTCCTCATCTCATTCCCAGGCCCTTTCCCATCTCTTTGCCTCATTCCCAGGCCCTTTCCCACATCCTCATCTCATTCCCAGGCCCTTTCCCATCTCCTCTCCTCATTCCAGGCCCTTTCCCATCTCCTCTCCTCATTCCAGACCCTTTCCCATCTCTCCTCATCTCATTCCCAGCCCTTTCCCGTGTCCTCAGGAATACCAAGGGGGACCCCGCAGACGCTCCCACCCCATCTCCCCCCGACCCCACCCAACCCCCAGGCCAAGTTTTGGGGGGAATCCCCTCCTAACCAGCAGTGCCCCCATCCTGCCCTGAACCCCAGCATCGGGATACGGCTCCGTGAACTCCTGATCCCTTTTTTCCTCCTCTCCAGGTTCACTCCCCGGCCACCGCGGCTTCAGATTCGCTTTGGCGCTCACCCTGACAGTGATCCTGGAGCTCACGTGAAGCTTCATCTGCTCTTCCTCCTCCTCCTGCTCCGCCTCCGTCCGGCTCCTCCCGGCACTCCTGCCTCCAGCCATCGGGTCTCCCGCTCTTTTTTTTTCTATACTCTCGACAGTCTCGGTCTCTTTCCGTGTCTTGGCTTCCTCAGACGATTGAATTAAAGGGAAAAAGGAAAACCTCTTCTGGGAGAAGGTCGTAATTCATGTTTTATCTGTGCTGGGATTCCCAGCTCCGTCTCGGGGTTCCCAGCTCCGTCTCGGGGTTCCCAGATCCATGTCGAGGTTCCCAGCTCCATCTCGGGGTTCCCAGCTCCATCTCGGGGTTCCCAGCTCCATCTCGGGGTTCCCAGCATGATCTCAGGGCTCACAGCTCCATCTCAGGGTTTCCAGCTCCATCTCGGGGTTCCCAGCTCCATCTTGGGGTTCCCAGCTCCATCTCGGGGTTCCCAGCTCCATGTTGGAGTTCCCAGCTCCATTTCAGGGTTCCCAGATCCATTTTGGGGTTCCCAGATCCATCTTGGAGTTCCCAGCTCCATCTTGGGGTTCCCAGCTCCATCTTGGGGTTCCCAGCTCTGTTTCACTGTTCCCAGATCCATGTCGAGGTTCCCAGCTCCATCTCAGGGTTTCCAGCTCCATCTCGGGGTTCCCAGCTCCATCTCGGGGTTCCCAGCTCCATTTCAGGGTTCCCAGATCCATTTCGGGGTTCCCAGATCCATCTTGGAGTTCCCAGCTCCATCTTGGGATTCCCAGCTCCATCTTGGGGTTCCCAGCTCCATCTTGGGGTTCCCAGCTCTGTTTCACTGTTCCCAGATCCATGTCGAGATTCCCAGATCCATGTTGGGGTTCCCAGCTCTGTCTCAGGATTCCCAGCTCCATCCCAGGGTTCCCAGCACCATCCTGGGGTTCCCAGCTCCGTCTTGGGGTCTTTGCAAAGTCTTGGAAGGGGGAGCAGGAGGATTTGAGGATTCAAGGACCAAATTTTCCCTGGGAAAAACCCAAGTGCAGCATTCCCATGGCCCCACGATGCTCCAGGCCTCGTCTCCCCAGGGTGAGGACCCACACGCGTCCCCAGCCCTCCCGAGGCCGCGGAGGCGCCGCCGGGAGCCCGAAAGTCGTGGATCACTGGGTTGATCCGGTGGGATTCCCGCGCGTGTCGCTCGTGCCGGGCTGCCTGAGGAATGCCAAGTGACAGGAGGCTCCCGACCCCAAATGTCAGCGCTCACACTTGAGCGGGCAGCGTGTCCCATCCCTCGTGGCCGGCTGTCCCCATGGAAACGGGCCGGATTTGGCCATTCCTAGGACGGCGTCAATCCCACCACACGACGGCTCCTGGCAAAATCCAGCTGGCTTTGCCTCCATCGTGGAGTTTTCCAGGCCGTTTTCCTCATGGAGCACCCGTGGGATGTCCCGTGGGGAAAGGATCACAAGGATGGGGGTTCTCCCAAGACTTTTCCTCTGGGAACTCATAATCCTGGAGGATTATTCGGCAGCCGCATGCATCATTATCACCGCGATGATTAATTATTATCAAGCAGATTCCAGCCCTTTCCCGCTCCGTTGCCAGCCTCAGAGGAGCTAAAGGAAACCACGGCAGCTCCAGAGCTCCTTCCCATACAAAATCCCAGAGTTTTACCCTTTGGAGTGGGAGCAGTTGGATCGGGGCTGGCTGGGATGTGCGGGAGGATCATCGGCTCCGATTCCATCCCGAAGGAATGACGGCCAACATCCCAATCCCATCACATCTACACTTCCACTCCACGGATGAGAAGAAAATCTTCCGTTTTTCTCAGAAGAAGCGTCGTTTCTTCAGGAATCCTCCCTGCCTCAGTTTCCCCCCACGCTCTGCAGAGCCCCTCCCATGGATCCTTCTGGCTTTCCTCACGGATCGGAGCCGCTCCAGCGGCCTCATCCCGCCCTAATTAAACAACCGCCAGGATGAAACAGCCATTCGGCCTCCCCGCTTGGAAAAACGAGCATTTCCAGCCGCCCGAAGCTCCATTTAAATGCAAATGCCGCGGGTTTAGCCCAGAACCGCGGAAATGAGGAGCATTCCCGTGGAAACGAGGAGCAATTCCAGCGGCGGGGCCACCACCGGGAGCGCCGGGATGAGCCCAGCCAGCGGCTGGGGCAGGAACGCCGGGCTCGGTGTGGCTGCATCCCAAACCCACCCCAATTCGGGATGCTCCGGGAAAAATCCCTGGGAAAAGGGATGGATCTGCTGGCGTGGATGGATCGACCAGAGGCTGGGGCCTTCCGAGTGCCAGCACAGAGAGACGAGCGAGGGGATTTGGGAGTTTCTCCCCGTTTTGGGGCAGAGCTGCTCCCTGTTTTTCTGAATTCCTGCCAAAACGAGGGTCACAAAGGGGTTCCACCCCACAGCCCCACCAAAGGGAGCCCCCCACGCTGCGCCGGACCCACCCTCACCTCCCGCCCCCTCCCCATCCTCTCCCTCCAGGTGGTCCCAGAGGATCCCAGTTTATCCCACTTCTCCCCCTCCCTATTCCCGATCCCGTTGTTTGAGGCGCCGGCAGTGAATAATGCAGGAGGCGGCTGGAGGGGAAAGGAGCGGCTCAGGTTGTTCCATTATTGATGAGAGCTGACAGATCCGCTCCTGACAACCTTCCGAGGAGATCTGATTAGCTCGGGAAAAAAAAAGAAAAGAAAAAAACCCACCGAAACCGCAGCGCCTTCGCGAGGGGCTGACGGCAGCTGAAACCCCAGAGGAGCGGCGTTATCGACCTTCCCGAATTCCAGGGGGACTTTGAAAGAGGCTCGAGCAGATTTGGAAGAGGTAATTACGCTCAATTAGAGTCACAAGCGCCGAGACGTCAGCGCCGCTTCTCCCGCTCCCCTCGCACCGCAGATAAACGGGATAAGCGGGGAATTTCTCCAGCGGAACCCGTGGATTCTTTGGGATGGCAGGAACCGGGAGTGCCCCGGCCCTGCAGGAAAGGCAGCGGGAGCTCCGCTCGGCGCCCTCATTGCCGGCTGGGTTCACGGAGCACGTGAATAATTCATCCTCCTCCTCCTCCTCCTCCTCCTCCTCCTCCTCCTCCCCCTCCTGCCCCGCTGCCAAGCGCCGGGACCTTGGCCGGTCCGGCCCCGGCAGCAGCGGGGAAGGGCCCGGCAGGTCGCGGCTGCCAGAGCCTTTCCCAATCAGCCGAGCCCCGGAACGCGTGCCCAGGCTCCACACGCGGCCCTCCTCCCTCAGCTCCGGCTTTCCAGGCAGGAGAAATTCTCCTTTTCCCAAGGTTTTGGCCAAACAGAGCCCTCCCCGCCAGGGATGGATTTTGGGGCTCTGACCCCAGCTGGATGGAGGAGAGAGGCTGGGTGGGCTTGGCTGGCGCTGGTTTGGATGCACGACACCGGCCGTGCTCCAAAACCCAGCTTTTAAACCAAATATCTTCATTCCCCCAAGCTCTTCTATGCTGTGTTTCCCCACATTTGGGTAGCATCCCAAATATTCCCTTAAATATCCTAAATAATTAATCCTAAATAAAATATCCTCCATTGGTGGATCCGTGTTCCCAGCAGGGATGAGCACAGGGATGCCCGAGTGCCGAGCCAGCCCGGGGAGGTCATTCCTGTGCTGCCTTCCCAGCCTTTTCAGGGATACAAAAACATTTTCGGTGTTTAGGACGGGATCCTCCAGCTGAGAGCAGTCCCAGCCCTTCCACCACAGGAATTTCAGCCTTCCCGGGAATTTCAGCATCCCAGCCTGGGCAGGGACACACCTCAGCACTCAGGGATGCCCGGGATGGGGGACAACCTGCCCCGAGGGGGCTCGGAGGCTCCTCCCCATCCCAAAACCTCGGGAAGCGGCTGGTGGGGATCGGCTTCTCCGTTGGGATGAGCTTTGGGAAGTTGAGGACACCGGGAAGGAATTCCTGAGCTCCCACCTCCCCCTGGAGACCCCTGGCAGGGCAAGGCCCCCTCCCACCGCAGCCACCCCCCCTCCACATCCCCTGGGTCCATCCCTGGGGAAAATCCCACCGGATTGGGATGGAGCCAGCAGGGAGCGAATCCCTGAGTGAAAACAGGAGCTGCCACCCACTCCCGGTTTGGTTCTCGCTTTTTTCCGCCTCTCTCGGGTGGTTCCCGTGGGTCGGATCCCTCCGGGCTCCGCTCCCGTGGCCGTGGGGGAAGCGCTGCCGTTCCCCAGGCTCCCGCCTTTCCTCTCTCACCGTGGTCCCAGCGTTGTTGTCGTGGGGACAAGAATTCCCCGAAACCTTTGGAATTCAGGCCAGGAGCAGATCCACCACCAGCAGCAGCTTCCCAGGGGGAGAACGCAGCCCTGCCGTGCCTCAGTTTCCCCACGGTGACTCCGATACGTGCGGCATCCCTCAGGAACGACAACTCCCAACCCTTCCCATCCCGAATTTCTCCCGGCTTTTATTCCTTCCAGCTGAACTCCAGCCTCGATTTCCTGCCCACCTCCGGGATTTTCGCCCTTCCCGAGCTCCTTTTCCACCAGCTCCTCCTTCCACGGCGGCCCCCGAGAGACCCCCGCAAGCTCCGGGGCCCTTTCCCGTCAACCCTCGTTAGGCAGCGCGCGGCAAAACGAAGGCCGCTGAATTAATTAATCACCGAATGAATTAATCACGGAATCAGCCGCTGAATTCGTCACCCGGCCGTGCCGCGGAGCAGCTGCTCGGCATCAGCCCAAAGGGCTCCGGGCTGCTGCTCCCTCCCTTTTCCGGGAGCACCGAGGGATGAGGAGCCTTCGCTGGGGACAAGAACTTTTTGTTTTTCCCCTTTTTTTGTTTTTTTATTTTTTCTCGCTGCGTGACCCTTTTCAAAGCACCACGGCGCAGAAGCAGCTCCCCGGGGATATTTTTCCTGCCTCTGTGCCCTTCCCCGAGCCCCTCTCTCTCCGTTTCCCAGGCCAACAGAGCTGGGCTGCACCTTTCCCTGGAGCCCAGCCCATCCCAAACATTCGCGGCTCCTCCGGAAACCTCCTGCCAGCTCTGCCCGCTCAAAGTCACCTTGTCCCAGCCCGCCGCGCTCCGGCCTCTCCCGGCAAATCATTAATCGGCTCCTCGGCATTCCCGCATGGAAAAATGCCCCAGCGGGTGCCCTCGGC